TTTTTTAATGTAGCTTTTTTGTCATGTTCTTAATGTAGTACTTCCTCCTATTCATAATAAGTGTCGTTTTAAGAAGTTGCACACTAATTAAGGATATTTTTTTGTCAATAATAACCCTCTTTAATGAAGATAGAGAATGATGTTTTGGGAAAAAATGAATAGTGAATATAAAAAGACGTAGTGTATTTATTAGCTAAATGAGGGTAATAATGGAAAAATATATACAAAAGATGCAAAACGACATTTATTTGGATAATAGTTAACAAAACCAAAATAACATTTAAAAAGAATAGGAGGTAGTATATCATTCGAGAACTCTAATACAACCTTATCTTGACTAGAAATCATGCTTTCTTATGCAAGAATTAACTATGGTTTTGCTTTCTCGTTTAGTATCATATTGAAATGGCCAATTGATACAATTTAAAGCTAGCGTGAGCTAATATATGTACTATATTACTAATAATTTTAGGGCTCGTTAAGCTCCACCAACATGTGAGGTCGTGTGAGTATGAAGATGTTCACATCTTGTGGGATATGCTCAAGCGAAAAGAATCGAACCTAACAATCGAAAAGGAGTCTTTTTGGAAACTCCATTGGTCAAAGTGCTCACCTTTATTTTGTCATGCTGTATGATTTTGTCAGCACAATATCGTTTGTTCGGCTAATTGAACACCAGTTTATTTAATTCGATAATGTGCAGTTTGTATGGGAAGCCTCATATATTGTTTCTATTAGCGTATTAATTAGAAGTTCTTTGAGTGCATTTAACGAGGATTCTTTATGGGTTTATAGCTATTTCATAGTGGTTGTCACATACTGGATGTTTAATATTTATGATATGATATTTTAAGGACCATATCTCTACGCCAGAAAAAATTTCCACAGTGGGCTGCACTACAATATTTGTTGTTGCTATTCGAACCGAGTTGTTCTAACATAGTTTGATTCAACTTGTAAAAGTTCAATCTTGACTTTCTTGTATATTTAGAAAGTCAAAATCGAACAACTGATCTAGGTTGCCTATCAAACAAGTCGAGTCGAGCGTGTTCGCGAATAATTCAGTTAGAATTTTGAGTTTTGTTCTATGTTTTAAGGTTTATTAAATGAACTGAACTGAGTTTATACGAGTCGAACTCACGATCAAAACTTTATTTGTTTATTAAAGAGTTAAGCCACAACAACTCGTTTATTAATTGAGCACGAGTTCGAACTTGAAATACTCGATTCGAAAAACCTAGCTAGACACATGTTTAAAGAAGTCAAAGTATGAAAATAATTTTAAATTTAATATAAATTACTTGAATCACACAGTAAATATAAAAATTATTATATTTTCTAACTAGTCGTATTTTTTATGTATATAACTCTCCTTTAACAAAAACTTGTGAATTTTTAACTATTTTCTTATACATATGACACATATTTATTTTTAAATGTTTCATCATTTTTTTCTTAAAAATGTACAAAGATAAATTTTCTCATGTACTTAAATTTTAATTAAAAAAATATAATTTATTCAAAAAACTACTATAAACGGTGTAATAGGCCCGTCATTCTTATTATATGTCATGTCATTTAAAGTACATATGTCATTTCCTTGAATTTGCCAGATAATAAATGAGATTTAATCGTAAATTTCATATAATAACCTATCATTTATGCTTGATCAGTTCATATAAGTCATCGTCCCTATCATTTTTCATCATGTTCCTCCGGTTGTTGATCTCGACTCGACCCACGATCCTTTGCCTCATTACTTTGGGGATTTCCATTTTTAGAAACTTTGGGAACTCAAAATGTTGAATAGCTCCTTCACGTATTTCTGGTACAACGTTCCCGAGAGGACGACCTTCTAGGGATTACACGGAAAGTTGATAATTTAGAAGAAACAGGAAAAATGTAAAAACAAATGCAAGAAGATTATATGTGACTAAAATGTGACAGGCCCGCACGAACTGTTCACACAATTTCTACATCTTTACGCACTTACTCAATTTATTTCGTCTATCTGTGGAATATTTTATTGTATAACTAGATCACACTTGTTTAATCATCTTCGCATGTCTGTCGCTTTGTTTATCGCATAATCTGTTTCGCATTTGATCAATTTTCTTGATTTGTTTGTCATAGAATTTATCGCATAAATATTTCGCAATTTATCGATTATTTGGACCTGTCTGTCACGTAGTTTATCGCATAAATATTTTACAAATTTTCAACTTTCTTTGCCTCTCTTTCGAATAGTTGGCGGATAAATATTTACACTTTAATTATCAATTATCTTTGTTTGTTTGTCGTGTAGTTTATGGCTATATGATATCGCACTAACTCGTTTATCTTCGCCTATCTGTCGCGTAATTTATCGCATAATGAGATCTCACTTGCTCGATTATCTTTGCATGTTTATTGCATAGTTTATCGCATAAGTAATTCGCACTTGCTCAATTAACTGCACCTGTCTGTTGCATGTTTTATCGCATCATTTGTTTCGGACTAGCTCAATTAACTTCGCCTGCGTGTGGCATAGTTTATCGCATAAGTACTTCGCCCTTTCTCAGTTAACTTTGCATGTTTGTTGCATACTTATCACATTATTTGTTTCGCACTTGCTAATAATATTCGCATGTCTGTCGCATATTTTATCCCATAAGTAATTCACACTTGCTCAATTACCTTTGCCTGTCTGTTGCATGCTTTATTGCTTAATGTGTTTCGCACTTTACTCAATGAACTTCGCTTGTGTGTCATCTATCACATTGTATAAATATTTCACACTTTATAAATTATCTTCGCCTTTTTGTCCCATACTTTATCGCATAATAGTTTCGCCCTTTATCAATTATCTCCGTCTGTCTTTCGCATATTTTATCGCACTTTATTAATTATGTTTCCCTGTTTGTCGTACAGTTTATCGCATAACTATTTTACACTTTTTCCTGTACTACCCCTTGTTGGTCCCGAGGGACGGAGCAGGCTAGGTTAGCTGAATTATCTTCGTCTGTCTGTTGCATGATTATTGTGCACTTTATCAGTTATCTTCGTCTGTTTGCATACTTGATCGCATAATTGTGTCGCACTTAATCAAATATCTTTGGTGTGTTGCATAGTTTATTGCATAACTATTTCGTGCTTTATCAATTATGTTCACTTCTTTGCGGCATGGTTGATCGCATAACTATTTTGTATTTTATCAACTATCTTCGTCTTTTATTCGAATAGCTTATCGCATAATAGATTCGCACTTTATTAATTATCTATGTTTGTCTGTCGCATAACTTATCGTATAATTTATTTCGCACTGTATGGGGTGAAAACTTATATTATTATTTGATGGTTGGTAAAACTTAATCCGTCTCCAAAACGGAGTGAAAATAACTATTTTTTCATTTGTACATGTGCACATATATACACATATATATGTGGTTGGATGTTCATTTCATATTACGCATAAGATTAACTTAAGTTGCAACTTGAAAGTGCACAATCAATGACATGAACTATCATTTTTTTTTTTTTTATATTAAACATGGGGTTTATATAAGTTGCAAGATGTACAAAAGTCAAATATAAAAAATGGATAAACCAATCAACGAATGACAACAAATTTACAAATATAATGAATGAATCAAATAATCCCATCATCAATTTCCTAATTTTCAAAGGCTTTCCAACTTGATCGGCGCCGCCAGGGAGACCTTTGACTTTTTCGCCGGGTGCGGGCTCTCCACCTCGTCCTCGGCAGATCCCGGCCACAAGCGGTCAGGCATAGCCGGCAGGTTCAGATCAAAGTCCCTATGGGTGGCGGTGGACCCCACGCCCTCGGTGCAGGTCGCAGAGCCGCTCGCGGCGGCGGCGGCGGCACCGCCCTCATAGTGGCAGCGCTTGTGTCCCCCCAGCGCCTGCCCCGTCGGGAAACTCCGGTGACAGATAGAGCACTCGTGCGCCCTCCCGGCGGAGGCCGTCCTCCCTCCGCCGCCGGAGGTGGTGGACTGCTCGTCGCCGCCGCCGCCGGCCAGCTTGCGGTGGCTGGCCTTGTGGCCTCCCAAGGCCTGGTAGGACCCAAACGCCTTGTCGCAGACCGAGCACTTGTACGCGCCCCCCGCCGCCGTCGGATGGGCCGGATGCGGTGGAGGAGTCCTTCGAGGCGGCGGCGGCGGAGACACGGCGGCGCCGCCGCGGGCGAGCATGACGAGGCAGAGGGCGAGGTACTCCTCCTCGGTGGGCGAGTCGTCGACGCTGCGCGGCCGCTTGGAGCGCTTGCCCTTGGCCCACTGGTGGTGGTCCAGATGGCGGAGGTCAAAATGGAACGGTGGCGCGTGGGAGGTTGGGGAATTCAATGCCTCGAGAGCCATTTTTTGGGGAAACTTCAATAATCAGTGGAAGTGTTTGGCGATTTTGATGCTTTTGTTTATTTTTTAACTTTTGAATAAATCTATTTATGAATAATAATTTAGAGTCTGGGGGATTTATATAGAGAACTTGGGTTCGTTTGGGGATATTTGGGAAGGTGGGCGTGAGGTGTTGGGAAAGTGGGAAGGTTACTTACTCTACTTACTGAAAAACCCAACACAGCATATTTTGGCGGCCAAGTGGATTTTGGTGGACAAGTTGGGTGTTGGTATTTAGGACAAAGACTGGGAAATTTTGGTTGACTTGGTCTAAGTCAAACCTCCTACGCGGCAGTGGAATTTGCGGCTGCTCCTCAACTATATCTAACTACTACTCTTTAATCACACGAGATTTCTTATTCTAAAATCATGTTTTATTTTGATAAGATTTATTAAATAAGTCGGATTGAAGTGATTGTTGGTTTCTCCTTGAATTTGTGAATTTCATCTGATCTTTTCGTATGAGTGCCTATAAATAGATTCTCCTTGGATTTCTTTTTCTAAAATCATGTTTCATTTTGATAAGATTTATTAAATAAGTCGTGCTGAAATAATTGTTGGTTTCTCTTTCGATTTTTGAATTTTATCTGATCTTTTCGTACGAGTGCCTAGAAAAGCGTCGAGAGAGTTCACGACATAGTGTTTCTGACAATAAAGTTAGTCTTCTAGTGTATATTCTCTGTATGATAATGCGTAAATAAATTCTCCGGCAATCAAGTTAGTCTCTTTGTGTATATTACATGTATGTATGATAATGCGTAAGAAAACATAACCTTAATTATAATCATATATATGCTTCTGTAAGAAAATAGTTACATTATCCCACAAGAACTCTACTCCTCCTAGGAAACTAGACATCTACATATATTTTAGTTAAATCTCTTTCTGTATTTCCCAAATCCTTCGGATCTCTGCAATCATATCTATATTAAATGTCCCACTATCAACGTTCCTATCGGTTTGCTAGATCGCCTTCTCAATCGAGGATCTGCCCTCTGGAACTTGATACGCTCGTGTAGTACCAGCTCGCTGACTCAGGTAGCCTAGACCTCAGGTCAATAAATCGATCTCCAGCTAGCCCTTAGGAACCTACCTTGGCCTATCTAACCTATTGCTTCTAAGTCGAGCTAATAAAGCTCTGATCTAGAACTGAGCCCGATCTCTCTATGCTATATCACATCCTATTGGATGATTGACATGTATTTACGAAGACATTATGGTTACATACATGTATCAATTATTTAATGGAATGAAACGAAAAATGAAACAATGCTTTGAAACAGGAAATATTCTTCCCCTATATGTCAATTTGATTACACTTATATAAAAAAAATAAGATTAATTATTAATTTGTGAAAATTTTCCGTGTATATGATATCAGACGTATGTCAATCATCACACTTATCATCACACTTTGTCTTCACTATGAAAACCTTATATTGCACATTTTTTTTTAGAAACCCTACTCTCGACTCCACATATCCTTGAAGTCACCATCGCTAGTATGCCCGACATACACTTGTCTCTCAAATGATAAAGATTTCTTTATTTTTCTTATTATTAAACTTTTTTAAAAAAATTTAGTTCATAAAAGAAAAAAAGAAATGTTATTCAAAATAAAGGCGTACAAGTTTTTTCTACTTTCATGGATGGGTTTTTTTTTTTTATTTTTTTATTTTAAATTTGCAGTTACATAATTTTGCCCAGAAGCATTTTATTTGCTCAAATAACTCGTACATCGGGCCTAAAATTTCTGAGTGCAGAAGCCCAAAATATTATGGCCCAACATTATGTAGGCCCAAATCAATTTATCCTATTCTCCAAAACCCTAGTTCACTTCAAGTTGCATAAAACGAGTGCTTCCTTTCACCCGGCAATTCTTTGAGTGCGGTGGCGAAAAAACATGGGTAAACATTTTCTTCTCAACAATTCAGCCAAACCATGATACCATTTCTGTAGTGCTCGTTCAGAATTTTCACATTTTCACTGATTTTAATATTATGNAAAAGGCATTCTTTTATATTAGATCAGGCTTATGCCGACTATCTCTAGTCCCATCTACGGCTGAGAAATTGCTATTTATTAATTATTTTATGGTTATTTTGATCCGGTTTGTGAAGGAAAATACTCTCTTTATACCATCCATCCTACAACGTAAGTCGGAATTTCCTAGGCCCATTATATATGATTTGTTTGTTTAACTTAAGCCTCTGATATTGGATATCTGTCAATGTTGATTCTCCAGATTCATGATTTATTAAATAACCTCATGTAATCATGGTGAGATATAATAACAAGATTTTCTAAAAATATACACACCTTTTAGTTTGATTGAAGCATTTTGTTAAAGGTCTGGTAGCTGTCACTCTCTTATATGTGCTTTTTAGTCTTTAGTCATGAATAGTGTTGCTGATTATAAGACTGTCACATTCTTAGTACTTCTAGAGTATGTTTCTAGGTGACCAGGGTGATGTTTGGATATCTTTTCACTTAATGCTGATTCCTTACTAAACAAATGAGATGAAAAAAATATTATGATAGGTTTGAATAGTTACCCTTTGGTAATCTTTCATGAGCAGTCTTCTTTCGTGTTAGTGACTCTTCCCTAGATGATCTTTTAATTCATACTTTCTGCATCCAGTTACTGCCTATTTTGTGTTTCCCCATGTAACTTGACACCCTACACAGTAAATCTGCCACATGATACTCGTGCCTCCTATATTTGGTTTTCTCTTTTTGTAACTATCCCAATTTTATCAATGGTGAAAAATAGCAGCAGGCGCCTGTGGTGATGCCATAACTGCCATCCGTCAAATTTCTTGTGGCGGTCAGTGTTATTAATGGCAGATGGCAGTAAATGGCAGCAGGCCTAAAACCATTTGATAACAATGGTGGCTGACGGTTAGGCAGAAATCCACAATGCCATACCTCGTCAGCCTCCATTTGATTAAACTGCACTATCCTAATAGAATATCAAAAGTCATCTTTCTTTTAATATAATGCAGAAATGAAACACAAAGCTCATTTGCCTCGATATCACATCTTCCCTTTTCATTTTTTTTATCTTCAGGGATATGTGATCTATCGTGTTCGTGTTAGGCGTGGTGGAAGGAAAAGGCCTGTGCCCAAAGGTATTGTGTATGGTAAGCCAACTAACCAAGGTGTTACTCAGCTCAAATTCCAGCGCAGCAAGAGGTCCGTTGCTGAAGAACGTGCCGGAAGGAAATTGGGTGGTTTAAGGGTTCTCAACTCATATTGGATCAATGAGGTTTGTCATTTGTGTGCTTATTTATGCTTCTGCACAAGTCTTGAGTTTCCAATATATTTTCATGAATCTCTCTAGTGGGGTTTAGTACTGAAATATTGTTTCGATAGTGAAAAGCTGTAATCTTTTGCAGGATTCGACTTACAAATACTTTGAGGTGATTTTGGTTGACCAATCCCACACAGCTATCCGAAATGATCCAAGGATCAACTGGATTTGCAACCCGGTTCAGAAGCATAGGGAGCTTAGAGGGCTTACATCTGCTGGAAAGAAATACAGAGGTCTTAGAGGAAGGGGCCATTTGCACCACAAAGCACGTCCATCGAGGAGGGCCACTTGGAAGAGGAATCAAACAATTTCCCTTCGTCGTTATCGTTAATCTGGTTAAACTTTTTTTGTTCTAGCTGACATTGGGAGAGGAGTTGTATTGTTGGTTGATTGAACTGAACATGATACTTGTGAGTTTTTGGGAACTTAAGTGTTTGGTTGAGATTTTGTTACATGTTAAAAGACTCTTTGTAGCAGTTTCACTTTCTTGCCACGGTTGGATTATTATAACTTTATTTTATTGCTCAAGTTAATTCTTTCTGCTTAGATCTATAGTGGCTAGGCTAAGTTTGTCTTTGGTTTTATTATTTTTTAAAATAAAAGGATGTGAAACTATGTGATGAAAAATTGGATTAGTTATATCCTAATGCTCGTGAGACTTTTATTTCGTAAGAGTTGTTAATATTCAAATTTTATGGATCTAAATTCGTGATTGCTGAATTAGCGTTTGAAATGAGTTGTTTTATGACCTTTTTACCCTTTAGGTTTATTTTATTTTTACGCTTCCTCGAATGTACAGAGCGAGAGAAGTGGGTGTGTAACGTGTGTTTGATTTTTACTTTCTAACTAAATTCTGAAAGATGTCAAAAACTCTGTACCTCTGTTGTACTCTATATTTTTATTTCCTAAATGTGTTATTAAATATAAAGAGATTCACAATACCATTTTAAAAATTGTAGTAATTATTATATAATTTTCTTTGATTATGTTCGAAATAAATTCGTACTTTTTTTAAACCATCACGTTAGATGTATTATTAAAGTGATTGAGGTTGTCGCACGTGACCTTTCTGGAGCATATCTGTAATTGGTATACCGAAATACTGAAATGATTAGTTTATTTTGTCTACCTTCCCATCTTCTTAAATATACTTTTCAAGCTAAAAGTGTGTGATATGGGGATTTTTACTGTTACATTAATGCACATCATCTAGGTGTGATCGTAGAGGAAATTTACATAACTTTCATTGTCTTGATTTGGTATTTATTTTTACATTTTGGTCCTAAAATTGCATTATTATTTTTTGTTTAGAACTCGTTTATGATTGATTTATATATAGTTTTCTTTTCAATGTCGTATTTTCCTAAAGTGTAGTAAATATATAAAAGGGTTATGAAAATTTCTATGTAGGCAGTTGAAAATGTCACGTTCTAAAAGAAATCATTAACTCTTTATACATACATTTCTTAGCTAAAATAAAATGTACACAAGACACATTGGGGTCGTTTACAAAGGGGGAAAGGATTAGACATTTTAATCCCTCCAAGTGGCCACATTTTGCCACATCATATTTAGTCCCTAATTTACTATACATGATACAATCTTGTCCTACCCAATCATCTATTTACTATCCATGATATATTTGTGTGGTATTTGTCCCTCTTTTACATATATACCCTTCATCCCAATCTTATCTTTCATCTCAAATCGACACCAACACCCTTTCATCCCAACTTGTCTGGAACCCTAATTTTGCGCCCCAATTTTCACGAATTCACCTACCACTCCCAGCATAATCCGATTTATACGACGTCACCTCCCAGCATAATCCACCTTGGGCTTGTGTTCAAACTTCTTACCCAGCCAGAAGCCGTGAAATCGACGGAGGAAAATATGCCCTACCGGCGAGCAAGTCGAACCAATTGACACCTGCGATGTTATCCTTGTTAGTACGAAGTCTGGAAAAATAAAGAAAATCGGCAAAAACGAAGAAGAAGAAGATGTTGCAGGTAGATTACGGGCGGAGAAGACGAGGTAGGGCAACAGGAGAGATCGTAAATGGCGATTAGCGGACAAGATTCGTAATATATATGCCTATATCTGTAATTTAGATTACATGGAGGGGCATAATAGACTTTTTGTGTGGTAAAGTGAGTTCAAAATGGGAAGGAAGAATTGGGGATTAATTTGTCAGCCCATTTTGGGCGGATTAAAGAAACCGGCCACATCAGTTTTCAGATATGGGACCCACGTGACACATCAGATAAATGTGAATCCCCATCCTCCCTAGTAAACAAATGATTAGGTTGGTTACCCAATCTAATCCAATCCTATCAATGCTAGTAAACGACCCCATTCTGTCATATGTTGTAACACTTGATGTATTGCATTATTAGGCCTGTTCTTTTACAGGGTGTAGCCTAGATCGTGGTCCTTTCCTCACATGCCAATGTAACACAGCTTACAGCTATGAACAATTGACTAAGCCTTATTTTATTTTCATTTTATAATTTAATATCCAGTCCTTGATTCAGTCTTATTTTTCATTTAAAAAGAATAGTACGGACTTAAGGAACATATGAAAGTACCCAATATATCTTAACTGAAATTAGTTGAAGATGCATCACAAAACCAAATGCTAATCCGCATTAACAAAAATCTTGTGTTAGTGGGTCTGTGGCATGCTAATTTAACAACAATGTTCGTTGTAGTGTATATATCAGAAATGTCTTCTTTTAATATATTGTATTATTTTAAAGTATATTAAATTTTGATATGAAAGTTGGTACACTTTTTGGAGATTTGTGAACTTGCCAACAAAGTTTCTGAAAAAACTAATAATTTGGGACTCATGCATTATAAAATCTAAAATTAAGTCTTATGGTAAATTGTAAAGGTCTTTATAATTACTACTATTATTATTACAATTATTATTATTATTAATACTACTGTTTTAAATGTGCAATTAGCTAAAAACAACACTTGCCATGACACGAGACCTTTTTTTATTTGAAAAAAAAGAAAAAGAAATAGATATATTAATAAATGAAATATATCATAATAAAAAAACAGCTAAATAAATTGAAAATAGCTAAAAATGCTGAATCCGGCAAAACCAAACCCCTTTCCAAAACTTTCAAACTTCAACTTTTAATTTGACTCATTTATTAAAATATTCAAACCTTGAGTGAAATTTTCCCAAAAATATTTTGCATTTCCAGAAAAGAACAAAAGCCCTCGAACCCCTCAAATCGTGGCAGTCAGAAAACAGAAAGAATCTTAGGACAGCTGCGTATTCTGCAAAAAGCCCTCTTCTCCTGTCCTGTCCTGTCCAGTCAAAAACCATCATTCACTACCAAACACTACACTACATCTTTCTATGTAATAATCGAAGTCCACAAAAAGGACCCCTCATTTCAACTTTTTATTCTTTTCCTGTTTTCTTTTCCCTTTTACATTAGAATTTTTTCAAGTCGATGAATTGACCACAGCCCACATTCTCCTTTTACAAGATTTCAAAGTCAATTTGTAAACAAGTTTCACATTTCGGTTTTCGCTCCACTCCACCAAGGTACACCCTTTTCCTTTTCTTACATCCTCTTCACCTTTCATTGACCTCTTTAATGAATTGATATCATTCTCTGCTTTTCTTTCTTCCCTGTCTTGATTTGATTTTAAAGAATTCTATCTTTTGGTTTTACATGATATGAGTGTTATTTTTTTTTTTTCGATCTAATACACAATCATAATTCCTGTGCTGTTTACTAGCAATGAGGGTTATGTATTTATGTTAATATGTCATACTGCAGAACATGATTATGATAGTAACTTCTGACAAAATGATGAAAGGTTAACGATTGCTATAAAGGTCCCATTTTTATTTTTATNTGTTCTGGTAAGCAATTGAAGCTTGAAGAGGCAGCAGCTAATAAGTCTCCAGAGTCATTAACCACTAGAGATTTGTCACTCAGTGGATTTTCATCATCAAGAACTGGCACTGCTGATTGGGAATCCAGGCTTGAAGAAGATGCTCAAGTGGATGAAGCTGAGTCCACTCTGAAGGAGGCACTCTCTTTGAATTATGAGGTCTTCTAACAAAATTGCTAATAACTCATTCCTATTTCTCTTTGAATTATGATTATATGTTTCATTGCTTAATTTCAATTGTGTGGTACTTTACAGAATGGGATTGGTTTATGTTTGTTTTTTTGAAAATTTTCTTGTTTCATAATTTAGATAGTTTGATTGTGATGAAATTTTCTTGTTTCATGATTTAGAGAGTTGATTGGTGAATTTTCAGGAAGCAAGAGCATTGCTCGGGAGGCTCGAGTACCAAAGAGGTAATTTTGATGCTGCCATTCAAGTCTTTCAAGGGATTGAAATTAGACTCTTTTCACAAAAAATGTCTAAGGCCATTGCCGAGAGGACTCGACCCAGAAAATCACGGTCAAGAGGCAAAAGTTCAACGGCTGAGGGTTTAATGTCTCTGCATTCTGTGAGCTTGCTTCTTGAAGCTATCATACTTAAAGCTAAATCTTTAGCCGAGCTCGGTCGATTTCAAGGTACAACTTTTAAAATATAATTTTTGTTCTTGCCAAATCAATACAATTTTCCTGCATTTAAAATACTGGTCTTTAAATGGACAGAGGCTGCTAAAGAATGCAAGATTATCTTGGACACAGTAGAATCGGCTAAGCCTAACGGTATACGTGATGAAATAACTGACGACAGCAAGTTGCTCGAGATTTTTCACCTAGCACTCGAGTTACTTCCCGAGCTTTACTTACAAGCTGGCTCCTTAGATGAAGCCATTGCTGCATATAGAAGGGCTTTGCTAAAGCCCTGGAACTTAAATCCCGAACGACTGGCCAAATTGCAAAAGGACTTAGCCGTAGCATTACTCTATGGAGGTGTTGAAACAAGCAACATGGAGGAATCGATTCTTCTTCTCTTCATACTCATGCAGAAAATTCTTCAAGGCGAAATTAAGTGGGACCTTGAAATTATCGATCACTTAACTTTCGCGCTTGCAGTTAACGGACAATACGAGTCTTTGGCTGAACAAATGGAGCAAATTCTTCCAGGCATTTATTCCAGAGTCGAGAGATGGTATTTTCTTGCTCTTTGCTATAGTGCAGCTGGACAGAACCAAACGGCGCTCAACCTTTTGAAAAAAATCTTTGATATTAGTAGAAATAACGGCAAGCCCCATTTACCATCTTTGTTGTTAGGAGCAAAATTGTGCGTTCACGATCCAAACGAGTCCTTATTAGGAATAAATTTCGCACGTGGAGTGATTCATGCATGCGAAGGCAAAAACGAGCATATTCTGAGCCGGGCTCATATGTTTATCGGGATTTGCTATGGAAATGCAGCTAAGGAGTCGATTTCTGATCACAAAAGAGCCGTTCTGCATAAAGAAGCGATTAACTCATTGAACTACAGTCATCAAAAAGCCGGGAAAAGTGAGGATTTAGAAATTAAGTTGTGGCTCGGGCTAGAAAATGCCGTGCAGAGGAATTTGGGGAAGGCCTTTGAACTTGTGATGGAGTTTTCAAAAACGAGTGGTGGGAGTTTTGCGAGAGTTTGGAAGATTTTGGCACTTATAGCATCGGGCGAACAGAGATTAAGAGATGCAGAGGCTTTAATTGACGTTGGCTTGGACGAGACAGAGAGTATTGAGCAGCTCGAGCTTCTGAGATTAAAAGCCTTGGTTCAGATTGCCAAAGAAGAGCCGAAGCAAGCAATCGAAACTTACCGGATTTTGCTTGCATTAATTCAAGGTACAAACGAACTTCCCGAGAAAAATGCATTTGAGGTACAAGCAGTTGAAGCATGGTTGGATTTGGCGGAACTATACTCGAAGCACGAGTTATGGCTAGATTCGGATATCTGCATTGAAAAAGCTAAGGAAGCTAAATTTTACTCTCCACGCGTATGGGAAGTAACAGGAAGACTATTTAGAGCTCAAGAACAGAATAAAGAAGCTATGATTGCATTTTCAGTCTCGTTATCGATAGATCCGGATTATGTTCCAAGTATAGTGTCGACAGCCGAGTTAATAATTAAGACGGGCAATAATAGTCAATCTCTTCACATTGCAAAAGGCTTGTTGATGAACGCGGTTCGTTTGGAGCCCACGAACCACGACGCGTGGTTCAATCTTGGGCTGGTTTATAAGATGGAAGGGTTCGTGCAAAGAGCAGCAGACTCGTTTCAAGCTGCACATGAGTTGAAACTCTCAGCCCCACTTCAAAGCTTTCAGTGATGGTACTAAAAACCTTTTT